ACGTATTATATAAAATATTATCTTGCTTCTCCAGTTCAGTTGGTGCAATGTATTGTATTAACATATCAATGTAAAATTATATAGAGAGATTGAACTGCTATTATGCTGTAAGTGATTGTATTTTATCCACTGCATGTGCTCTATTAATTGCCCCCTTTAGTAGTTATTGCCTACATACCTATAAATGAGTGAGTTAAAATGCAGAAGGGAAATTGGCATAAACACATTATCGGAATATCATTGTGGAAGAAAAGGACTTTCGAATTGAGTGGATAACAAAGTTAGGACGATATTAATATAGGAAAAATATAAAAAGAACAATTTTGTTAGAAATGTTTATATAGAGCCAACAATTTTCACAGTGTTTTACAATCATAGAAAGGGAATATGAAGAAGCCCCTGACTCAAACAAACTTTCAATGTATGAGGATTTGAGGTAGACAGACATATATCTCAGGGACACTTACCAGTGGGGGGAATATAAACATGATTTTAGCCTGGTTTTCCCATTTAGCTAGTGACAGTACCATGGCTCTAACTGACCAACCGTAGCTCTTTAATGGCCAGAGTGACCCAGGGATGTTTACTTTGCTCCAACACTATTTATTTACTTAGTAGTATATTAAAAGTCTATTACGTTCAAATTTAGGTTAAGTGTACCTTTTAGCACAATGCTTAAATTGCCTCTTTCTGGAACATTAAATCCTGTCCAGTAGATCATATTAAAGGGACAGTATAGTCATCATAACAACTTTTAGCTGAATAAAGCAGTTTTGGTGTATACATCATGCCCCATGCAGTCTCACTGCTCAATCCTCTGCCATTTTGGAGTTAAATCACTTTGTTTATACAACCCTAGGCACACCTCTCTGTATGTGCGTTACACAGCCATCTTAAACAGTTCCTGTATCATCTAATGTTTACACTTCCTTTCCTGCATATTCTGTTTAATATAAAATTTCGTAATCGCCTGCTCTTTTAATAGCTTGCTAGACCTTGCGGGAGCCTCCTGTATGTAATGAAAGTTAAATTTACAGAGCAGGAGATAAAAACTTTTAAAGTAAGTTACATCTGATTAAAAATGAAACCATTCTGTTTTCATGCAGGCTGTGTCAGTCACAGCCAGAGAGGTGTGGTTATGGTTTAATTAAAATAAACAAAAGTGATGTCACTCCTAAATGGGAGTGAATTTAGCAGTGAAACATCAGAGGCTTATTAAGCTAAAGTTATTTTGGTGACTATAGTTTAAGTAAAAATTGGTTCAATCATTACTTGTCCGTTCCTATTTATGAACCAAATTACCTTAAAGGGCTACCCCAACGCTCTTCCTTACATATTATATTCTTGTTCTGTATTAAATAATGTTCACTCATTCATTTTTTTAGTGATATTCAAAATAAGTTAAACCATGCCTAAAATCAAGTCCTAATGCTATTCTGTCAATTGCCAGCACATCACCAGCTGATAAGGTGTTTTTTTATGCACAGGCTGATTAGTCCAGAGGTGTGGCTACATTCATTTTGGCACAAACCTTATAATTTATCTGATAGGCAGCATTTCAAACAGAAACCCTGAACATACAGACTGCTTGTACCACAACCACTTCTAAAAGCAGATGTGATCTTGGTGGTTGGAGTAACCCTTTTATAGAGAACCCATACATTTCAGAATGTTTATAACTTGTGCAAGATAATTTGTCATCTTATAATTTTTTGCAGCCATTATTCTTTAGAATTACAACTTTGAACTTACTGTGCCTTGTTCAAATACTGACATATTTAGTAACTTAATATCTGTGTAGTAAGGGCATTGTAATAAATAAATGTTCAACAATATAAATCTGTTGAATAAATTGTCCTTGGCATGCTATAGTTTCTGCATGTATGTCTGAAGAATTTAGCCATAAATGAGAAATATATAATAACAATATAATAACACCCTTGATAAAACAAAATTCTTTAATTAAATTCCTTGAGCATATAAATTAAAATCTTGCTTAAAAAAACACTCCAAACACCATTACCACTACAGCATGCTGTAGTTGTTAGAAAACTGGTTACGAATGATTTGACAACTTACCTGTGTCCCATCAGATATCCGTCTCCACATCCACCTCTGCCTCCACCAGGAAGCTCCTATCATTTTGCTAAGCCTGCCATGCATGAGTGTGCTCATTGGCTGAAAGTGCTCTGCTGACACTCTAAGTAATAGAAATGCACCCTACATGCAGAGCCAATCCTAGGTGAGTGCATACCGCCCAGGTGCTCTGTAGAGAGGCGGGGTGTTCAGCACTTTGCTCCACCCCCTCAGGTAGATCCTGCCCATCTCAGTAGGCCACACCCACTCACAAGCAGCACCAGAAGTAAGAGGGACAGGACAAACCTAAGGCCTACTGCTGACACCCTGGCTTTCTACAGAGCACCTGGGCACTCTGCACCCAAGCAGGATGGGCTCTGCCTACATAGCAGAACCCAGCTCAGTGGAGCTAACTGGAAACCCCCTGTAGGAGCATCCAGCAGCTGAGAAGGCACCAGCAGGCACATGGAGGGACACAAATAGGTTGTCATTCTTAAACAGTTAACTCTGGAAAGTCTGCAGGGCACTGCTGCCACCATAATCACTTCAGTGCACTACCATGGTCATGCTGCTTGGAGTGTTCCTTTAATTCAAAATTAAATGTAAACTTTTAAACTTGTAGACTTGCTGAATATACATGGAGCAATTACACATTAACTGGATGGTTACAATATCGTATGTAAATGTTTGATATTCACATTGGTAATTGTATTCTATAATTGAGAATTAAATGTTCTCTCTCTTATCAGGCACAAAGGAAGAACGAATCTGCCAGAAGGTAGCAGTTAGAACTACAATAAGGAAAAGTGATTGCATGAGTCAAATCCCTGTAAGTAATCAATTAAATGTCTAATATATATATATATAACATCCGATATAGAATGGCTTCTCACCAGTCTTTTAAAATGCCAATATTTTATTAGATAAAGTTTAAAAAACGACCAACGTTTCAGTCCCCGCTCGGGACTTTCTTCAGGTTCAATAACAGGACAACTGTTATCGGATGTTGTGTTGTTGGAGATCAGGCTTATGCACCTGGCAGTGAAGGAGTTAATGCGTGAATGCAGGGTATTTTTTTCTTTATATATATATATATAAAAAATAGTCTTGCACTCCACTTACTGGTGTCTCAGCATAGTATAACAAATTGCGTAGAGATGAAAGTTTGGGTGGCAAACTAAAACGTTGATCTTTTAAATTTGGAAAATAAAAGTTACATTTTACTTTTACACCTTTGGAGTCCTGGGAGTGCTATCTCTATGCAATTTGATTTATATATATATATATATATATATATATTAAAATTAATTATATATTTTTTAAAAAATTTATTATTATTATTTTTTGCTTTAGTTAGTATATAGAAAAACACTCTACTAAATTACAATGAACATGTCTAGTGGTCAGAAAGTATAATTATTATTTACACAAATCTAAGCTATTTTGTGATTCAGGCAATAATTCTTGAAGCAGTAATGCTTAGTAATGTGTAATAAGACAAACTTAATATGAGCTCTTCCTTTTTTCTGAGTTTTTTCATCTTGAAAGTTTATAGGTTACAGGTCAACCACCTTTTAAGTGTATATACAAAGCACTCCTACATATAGAAAAATACTGACTTGACAAATTGTAGAAGCAATTAGAGGAACAGTTTAGAGCAAATATTACTCCTTATTTCTAAGTAAAATTAAAACTACTAATTTCAAAATATGCTTTGTTATTAAAACACTTGTTGGTATAATAAGTGGTAGATATTTGTATTTTATTCATTGCAGTATTTAGCATCGCTCACATAATTTTCTTTATTAGACATTGAGTGTTATTTAGTAAGCCATGGATAATTGTGAATCCTTTAGGAAAATGGAAATGTAAGACCAAAATAGCTAAGCTGGGAACAATTTTTTCCACTTTATTTTGGTCTAACATTTTCAGTTCCCTAGTGAATTCCCAACAAATAATGGTTTAATAAATAAAGTGAATAATTAAGTTATTACTTAACAAATAAAATTAAAAAATAAAAATAAAAAATAGAGCTAAATAACATAGTTAGGCCTTAATTTAATATTTTTGGATAAGGTCTTGAAATTATTTAATAATATTGGATAAACTTTTAAAATTATTTAATACTGTGAAAAATATTTTAATATTTTGATATATATTTTTATAGATTACATATTTTTTAGATCAAAAAAATATTTTGAAAGTTTATCCAAAAATGTTAAATAATTTCCCTTCTGTGCATCAGGCTACATCATTTTGACTGCAAAAGATTTGATATAATCATAGTCCTGATCACTCAATAAATAATTAATAGTCATAAAACTAACCAAATATAAATTATAAAATAAATGTTATATTGGTTTATAATTTATATTTGGTTAGTACCGTACTTGTTGCACACCATATTAGATATTTTGAATATCTTTTTTTTTTTTTTTTTATTAATCAACATTTGCAACATACATTTATATATATATTTTTTCCTGATTTTACAGATTACTGTGGCTTCTTGTGATGGAAAGTGCCCCTCTGCTACGATATTTAACGTCAACCTCGATAGCCATATAAGATTCTGTAAATGCTGTCGCGAAAATGGAGTACAGAATCTGACTGTGCCACTCTACTGCTCAGGAAATGGAACCCAAATAATGTATGTCATACAAGAACCAGTGGACTGTACATGCCAATGGAATTAAACAGATTTTAATTTGCACCACATCGCAATGGATTCTATTCTTTTCCTTTTAATAAACTTCTGTCTCCCAAAGAAAGGACAATTATGAACACAAAAATCACATCTGTTATTGGCCATGTATTACGGTCTAACCATCGGTTTAGAACAATAAAAAGCATAACAAAAAAGCGTGTACAATTTAAAAAAATATATTATTATTATTATTATTAATAATTATTGTATTGAAAAAGAAAATGGCAGTTTTCATTTTATATATGCAGAAAAAGATGTACTATTGCTTGTTGTCAGCAGAAAAGGGATGTTCGTGTACTTATGTGGTGTTAACAGAAAATATAAGAAAATTAAATCTTTATATATCCAGTTAATTCAGAAAAGTGTCTTCAGTCAAATACACAACGGTGGATGGTTTTATCTGTGTATTACATTTATAGTAAGGTTTATACTTGACTTATGGTGCGTAATAATGAATATGTAACATACAACTTTTTATTATTGATCCAAATTGTGCCATTATTGTTATTTTGTAACAGATACACAAATTGCTTAACATTGTTTAGATATTTTTACGTGTCCATCCAGCAGATCAAACCTAACTAAATGCTAGTCAATGCCCTTTACACAATAAATAATTTTATGATTGCAGTTTTTTTTTTTTTTAGAATGTACATAGCACAGCTTAAAGAAAATAGCAATTTTGTAATTAATGTAAATGTAAAATCCTAAACTATACTATTGGGCTTTATAATGCTATATTATGAGAACATATTTGAAACATGGAGCTAATTTCAAAATGAACTTTTTATTGCTGTCACCTATTAATTAAATCTATAAAGTCACAGATCACAAAACATTGTTTGTTATTCAAAATATACTGGTGTTTATTGTTCTCACAGTATTAAGGAATCTGTTTACTAAAGGCCATGTCTATTATAGCAAACAATGTCACTTTCACTTTTGGCTCAATTCTCTTCTGGTTGGCTGATAGAATCCATGAGAAATTTACTATGATCCAAAGTGAATAATGGATCTCTACTATTTTCAAATGGATTTCATTGTGTAATGAGGTTTATTTGAGAATAGATTCAGATGAATGGTAACCAAACTGGAAATACATAGTAATCTCTAAAGGGGGCCTAATTTCCCTGGCCGTGTCCCTGTCACTGCTAAGGCAAGAGTAAGATTTCAGTGGGGATGTAGTGTCAGGGGTATTTTTTATATGGTTGGTGGTGATTTTATGGTAACACAGTGTTAGGAGGTCTTAAAATATGGCTGCATTTGTTATTGTCTCTGTCAGTGGAATAAAATAACGAAATGATGGATACACTTGCAATTCAGATGCCATTACCGTCAGGGTTATTCACTATAACCAAATGACCCGGAACTGCATGGGGCAAAACTATCTGGTTACATATGAGGCAATTCAGACTGCAAAATTTGAATATTGTTGTTGGAATTCAGCATTGGAGTTTGTAATGCAGGCCCTGAATGGGGCTGAATTTGGTCTGGATTTCAGGAGAACCAAATGCTGTTGGATGGCTGAAATCCAGACCGAATGCTGCTAATCTGCAGGCTTCAACTCCAGGCCCAGACTAAAAGAAAAAATCTAAACTATATGCTCACTGGCAGTGCAAGCAGCCATCGGGCAAATAGTTAAAAATCCTTGGCGGCTTAAAATGGTAACCCTCTGCAGGGAAATAGTAAAAATAATAGTAATTTTACTATTCAATAATTTATGAGACCCTCATATTGCTATAATGGAGGTAATGTACCTCCTTATGCCAACATCTAAACTAGTTAGTAGAAAAGACCCATCCCATTGGTGGGGGCCAGGGGAGTGGACAGTAGATCCCCATTAATATTTAAATTAGCCCCCACCTGATGCCCCTTGACCTTATACCCATAGGATGGGGCCTTTTCTAGCAACTGGACAGTCTATTAATATATACCCATAGGATGGGGTCTTTTCTAGCAATGGCTGCCCAGTCTCTCTGTTTAGACATTTAGTACACATGCTCCCACCTGCCGCATGCCTGTTGGGGGCATATGGAGATTTACAACCTCCATTATAGTAATATGGGATCTTATTTACCAACATAGGATTTTCTATTTGTCAATTTAAAAAAAAAAAAAAATTAAATGACGTGGCTGGATAACAGTGCTGGCCAGCCACCATATAATTAACCTTCACACCACTGTTTTTTTTATTTATTTATTTTAAACAAATTGCCCCCTGGCTTCTAGCACTGCCGGTGGACAAACAGTTCTTCAAATGATCAATTAACTAGTAAAAAGCAAATGATAGTTTGCAAATGTGCATCCTGCCGGATGTATTCGGTTTATCATTGTGCTCTATGCGGTCATTGAAAAATCTCCTGTTCAAGTGCTGTGAATTGGTTCAGATGCAGTTAATAATGATTTTCCAAACTCTTTGGTAATGAATGTTACAAAGATAGTTGGACAGATCGAATCCTGACCACGTTTTGCTTTACTAAAATTGCGAATTGCAAAGTGATTGGAACTCGCCTATTTTCACTGCCCATTCTGATAAACTCCAGTGTTTAGTGAATAACCCAGTTAGTGATTGAATAGTTGGATTAGCAAATTTATTTAGAGAATTAATAGATTTTGGCAGCCAACCAAATGGAGTTGGAACAAATGTACAAATATGGCTCAAAGAACTTCATCACCTAGGGGACTTTTGAGTGAAACAGATTTAGACAAAATAATGCTATTTGGATGCCATCTAGAATTTAGTGGAAGTGTCACATTAATCCATACCTATTTAACCAAGTATCTAAAAAGGAAAAAGGTTATTACTTGGAAATCTCACTGCTGGCAAAGTAAGAGAAATACAGGTAGAGATGTCGCGAACCGTCCGCGAACTTCTCGCAAACGGTTCGCCACGGTTCGCCACGAACCGTTCGCAGCGAACTCCGGTCAGCTGACACATTCCTGCCAATCTCCAGCAGACCCTCCCTCCCAGACCCTCCTACTTCCTGGACAGCATGCATGTTGAAGCTGCCTTCAACAGAATCGTTCACTTCCCCCCCTGCCTTCAACATGGATGCTGTCCAGGAAGTAGGAGGGTCTGGGAGGGAGGGTCTGCTGGAGATTGGCCGGGATGTGTCAGCTGACCGGAGTTCGCCGCGAACGGTTTGTGGCGAACCTTGGCGAACCGTTCGCGAGAAGTTCGCGGATGGTTCGCGACATCTCTAAATACAGGATTTCTGCTGAGCTTTTATGAAACTGAAACAGTAGGGATGTTAATCTTCAAAACGCCATATCTTTAGTTTTCACTGAGTACCTTTTATCAGTATGGGAATTGTATTGTTGTGTTTGATTTAATATTAACAAAATATAAAGCAAACAAATGAGCAGGGACCTAAAAAGGAGAATAAGTAGACATGTTTTTGGGTCTGCGCAGAAACCTTTTCAACACCTAAAACTGGGCCACTAAGAAAAAATGCTCAATGGGAACATCTTACAAAACTTAGAATAACTTAAAATCTAACATGACATTCTCAAAGCTAAAAATCAGCGACCTTCCCTGCTTAATTCTGGAGGACTTCCCTTTACTGACTGATTTACAACTTGACAATTATCAACTTGGTAGTATGCATATTTTGGTTAGTCCATGATCCCTATGTCATCATACATAAACAGTTACAGTAAAATAGTGGAAATGCAAGAAATTGTTAATAATTTTAAAATGAATTAATTTTAAATAAAAATATTTAAATCATGGGAAGAAAATTAAGAAATTTGCAAAAGATTGTGATATTTAAATACATTTCTTTTTTTGTCAGTCTTTATTTATTTTTTTGTCAAAAGGTAGAGATTTATACAGTTACAGGGTATCAGAAAAGCAGAATATTAACATTTATTATTATTATATTATTTAGATAGCGCCATCACATTCCATAGCGCTGTACAATGGGTGGACTAACAGTCATGTCATTTTAACCAGACAATTGGACATACAGGAACAGAGAGGTGGAGGGCCCTGCTCAATCAGCTTACATTCTAGAGGGAGTGGGGTATAGTGACACAAAGGGTAAATGTAGGGGTACAAAGTAGGTTGTTAGAAAAGTATTCACTGAGGGCTTAGTAGGTAATTTTTGACGGTTGCAGGAGAGGAGTCATGGGGGTGGGGGATAAAAACCTGCTTACAGTTTAATTGATATGCTTTCTTGAAGAAGTGAGTTTTCAATGATTTTTTGAATGAGTGGAGACTGGGTGAAAGTCTTACGGAGAAGGGAAGGGAGTTCCACAGAAGAGGTGCAGCCCTGGAGAAATCTTGGAGGCGAGCATTAGAGGTGGGAGTACGGACAGAGGATAGACGTAGGTTTTTGGCAGAGCGTAGGGGACATACTTGTGTATTAGAGAGGATAGGTAGGTTGGAGCAACATTATGTAGGGACTTATAAGCAAGCACTAGAATTTTAAATTGAGCCCTATATTTACCTGGAAGCCAGTGCAGGGGCTGACAGAGTGGGGAGGCGTGGGAGGTGCGAGAGGACAGGAAAATGAGCCTCGCCACTGCATTCATTATAGATTGCAGTGGTGCAATCTGGGAACACGTAAGACCACTGAGAAGGGTATTGCAGAAGTCAAGGCGAGAAAGAACAAGAGCATGGACCAGCACCTTAGCCGCGTCCGGGGTTAAATGGGGGCGAATGCGCGCTATGTTTTTGAGATGGAAGCGACAGGATTTGGTGATTGATTGGATATGAGGGGTGAAGGAGAGGTTGGAGTCAAAAAGAACACCTAGGCAGCGAGCCTTCGAGGTAGAGGTGATGGTAGCGCTGTTGACTTGGAGGGAGACAGACACAGGAGTAGTAATACTTGAGGGAGGAAAGACCAGACGTTCTGTTTTGGAGAGGCAGTCAGAGACACGAGTCAAGATGGGCGGAGAGAGATCAGGAGAGGACAGGTAGATTTGCGTGTCATCCGCATAGAAATGATAACGGAAGCCAAAGCAGCTGATGAGTTTACCAAGGGAAGCAGTATAGATAGAGAACAGTAGGGGACCAAGGACAGAACCTTGGGGGACGCCGACAGAGAGTGGTTGGGGGGAAGAGACAGAGACAGAGAAAGAAACACTGAAAGAGCGCTGGGAGAGGTAGGAGAGGAATCTAGACTGAAGGGGGTCAAGCAGAGAGTTGGATTCGAGAAAGTCAGTCAGTCTGATGTACACAACTCTCTTGAGGATCTTGGAGGCAAATGGCAATAGTGAGATAGGGCGGTAGTTGGATGGAGAGTTGGGGTCAAGGCTGGGCTTTTTCAGAATTGGGGTTACAGTTGCATGTTTGAAGGGAGAGGGAAAAGTGCCAGAGGAAAGGGAGAGATTGAAGATTTTAGTGAGAGGAAGAGCAAGAGAGGGAGACAAAGTGCGTATGAGATGTGAGGGAATAGGATCGAGGGAACAGGTGGTGGGACGGGATGACCGGAGCAGAGCAGAAATCTCTTCTGCAGTAGCAGGTGCGAATGAGTGTAGAATGGTGGAGGGAGTGGGGTTGGGTGATGTATTGGTTGGGTGAGGTATTTTGTAGAGAAACATTTGTTTCTCTACAGAAGTTCAAGTAAACATATCCCTCGTCAACATTGTAATATTCATAAAATGCATCTCAAAACAGTGTGTTATTTCTTATGTGTGCTAATGTATGACAAATAAGAGGATCATTACATATAATCCGTATATTTTTGTTCTCAGAGGCCCACTGAGCTATGATGTTAGCTTATGCAGTGTTGTTTTGTATTCTCATTTTAGGGCTAGGGTGGTTGAACCTCGTGTTCCTGGATTTCCCTTGTTATATCCCCAGGGGTGTTTCGTTTACTACTGTTGTGATTTCTTGAATTAATATGTTATTTATTATTATTAATATTATTTACATAATTCTTTAGATTCTTATAAAATAATTACAGTTTTCAGTTTTTCCCCATATTTGATGTGTAGTAGCAGTTGAAAAAGTCAGCAAATAATTGATCCCCTCTGATTGTGTGCTCATGATAATATTAAATGTATGCTTACTATTACAAGGAGCCTAAATAACAAAATGGGGGGAAAAGAGGCAATATTTTACAGGGCCGGACTAGGAATTAAAAGCAGCCCTGGAAAAAAAATATTTACCAGCTCCATAATGCGTCACGCCAGCATAGTGTGCAGATACAGAGTTAGAACAGAGAACTTAAAATTAAAAAGTACTCCAACGTAAAAAGCGCAATCATAGGCTTCAAAATAAACAAAAGTGCAGATTTATTTTAAGCAGACGTGCCTTTGCATGTAATCAATGTTTCAGTCCAACTACCTTGACCTATTAAGGAAAACTTGTTAATGGGACTGAAATGGTTAATGTATGTAAGGCACAACTGTAAAAAATGTTTATTTTGAAGTCCTGTGGGTGTGCTCTTCACTTTAAATATGTCATTGAGTATGCACCTAGCAACAAGACTGGGCCAATATCTGCTCATTACATAAGGTACATATTAATGAAATTCCTCTGTGTATTATGCATATATAAATGTACATTAATATGTGTAAATATAATAGGCATAATATATATATAACTAATACACACATTAATATACATGTCATATACCAGTGGCGGATCCCGAGCCTGATCTCGGGAGGGGCACGTTTAGATTATTTAAATAAATATTCCATGCACAATAACCACTACTCCTCTCCGTAGTGGTTATGGTGCCAGGGGTGTCGGGACCCCCTCCCAGAGTAAGAAGTCAAACCGTTTAAGAACAGTTTGACAACTTACTTGGAGTCTGCTGGGATATGGGGCTGTAGTAGGGTATAGGAGCAGTGGTGCAATGTGTGAGGGGTGCAATGTGTGTGAAAGGTTCAGTGTGTGGGTGTGTGGGGGCAGTGTGTGAATGTGTATGGTGTGTGCGGGGGCAGTGTGTAAATGTGTGTGGTGTGCGGGGGCAGTGTGTGAATGTGTATGGTGTGTGTGTGGGGGCAGTGTGTGTATGTGGCTAGAGTTCACTCTCACTACTGCAACCACCAGGAAGTGGGTCCTCTCTTCCTCCCCTGCTGGCTGCCCGCACGGTGCCTGAGGAACGGGGAGGGAGATCGGCTGGCAGGGGAAAGCCTCGTGGGGGGGGAATTGCCCCGTTGCCCCCCATCCACCAGTGATATATACTGCCCCTATGTGTGTCTCTTTATCTCCAGCCCCTCTGTGTGCCTTTTTGTCTCCCCAGTCACTCTGTATGTTTCTTTCTCCCCCTCACTGCTCCTCTGTGTCAATGTCTCCCCTCTCCTTCCCAGTCTCTCTCTTCCCCCTCTGCCTCTTTCTCCCCCTCCCCTTGTGTGTCTCTCTTATTTCTTCCTCTTTGTCTCTCTCTTCCCCCCCTGTCTCTTTCTCCCCCCTTTCCCTGTGTCTCTCCCCCTTTCTCTGTGTCTCTCCCTCCTCCCCATCTCTCTTCCTCCCCTTTCCGTGTCTCTCTCCCTCCAGCTCATCTCTCTGCCTCCCCCTTTCCTGTGTCTCTCCCTCCTCCCCATCTCCTTCCTCCCCCTTTCCGTGTCTCTCCCTCCAGCCCATCTCTCTTCCCTCCCCCTTTCCCCGTGTCTCCCCTTCTCTCTTCCTCCCCCCTTTTCGTGTCTCTCCCTCCAGCCCATCTCTCTTCCTCCTCCCTTTCCCTGTGTCTCTCCCTCCACCATCTCTTTATTCCCCTCTCTGTTTTATTCCACCCCATTTATCTAGAGGAGTCAGGGGGGCCAGCCCGTTCCAGGCTGGAGCCGCCGGGCCGGGTGGCAGCTTCGCCGGTCCGGCGGCACTCCTGTCACTGACGATGCTGATGGCTGAAGGAGGAGGAGCATGTCTACCATGCTCCCTCGCGGTTCCTGTGCTGGGAATTGTGGGAACCGCGAGGGAGCATGGTAGACATGCTCCTCCCCCTCAGCATCATCAGTGACAGGAGTGCCGCCGGACTGGCGAAGCTGCCAGCCGGCCCAGCGAGTCCAGCCTGGAACGAGGCCGGCCCCCCTGAGTGTGCCACCAAACCGGCCACCCGGTGGCACCAATGTGCGCAGCCCCCAGGTGCCGCTGCCCACCGGGAAATTTCCCGGTATCCCGGTGGGCCAGTCTGGCCCTGATAGCTTACACTAAACAATTTAACATAATAGTCAAAACAGAAACATGGTGGGATGAGACACGTGACTGGGCAGTTAACTTAAATGGTTACACATTATTTTGGAAGGATAGAAAAAAACAGAAAAAGAGGTATGTTTTAACCATGGTTTAAACCCAAATTGTCATGGTCCCCAGCTCGCAGCTGCACGTGGTCGCACCCGATTGGTGCGACCACGCTGACAGGTTGGAGTAATTACCTATTCAGCAGGAGCTGACCCTCTGGGGCATCCACATGCGGGATCCAAAATGGTGCCGAATGGCATCGACCACAAGGTCGCGGCTATTTGTAGCTCCCCCTCCAAAGGTCACGCAAACGCCGACGCACACGCCCGTTCTAGGGTCAGAGGCCAAGCTCTGACCAATCACAGCCCAAGGAAGGATATTTAAACCCCTGAATTTCCTCAACTCATTGCCCTGTTGTGGTTTCCGTTCCTGGTTCCCGAGAGTGCATTTTCTTGTCCTTGTTATTGCTATTCCTGGTTGATATATGCAATTCGTTTCGTCCCGAATGGAAATTCGGATTAATTTCGGGCAATTGCTGAAGTGCCGAATTCCCGAAGTCCGGAAGCTCTGAAATTGCCGAATTTCCAAAGTGTCGAAGTTCCGAAGTTGCCGAAGTTGCCAAAGTTCCAAAGTTTGGAAGTGCCGAAGTTCTGAAGCACAGTATTGCCGAAGTACTAAAATACCTACCCAGTGGAAGAATGAAGAATGTTAAACTGTATACAAGTTTAAATAAAAAGTATACAAACATAGCCAGGATTCAGCTGTAAGCATTTGCAACGATTACAACAATCAAGTAACACACATTCATATAAAATGTACGTTACTTAGCCTGTCAATGGAATGACAGGAATGAATAAGTAGATAACTCTCTAATTCCCATGATATTAGGGAGTTATCTACTAAAAGGCTTTCGTAAAGATTACTTAGTATTAGTAAATTATGCCCCTACTTGCTATACCGCGAGTAGGGGCATGTCTATTAAACAGTGAGCAGCCTGTGGGGGTCAGGGGGGAGGACAATAGGTCCCCTCCTTATTGATATTTAGGGCCCCCACCCGCCACTCAGGGGTGGGGGCCTGGGGGAGAGGTCAATAGGTTCCCCCTTATTCTAACTTAGGGCCCCCACCCGTCGCCCAGGGGTGGCGGCCAGGGGGGAGGACAATAGGTCCCCCCCTTATTGATATTTAGGGCCCCCACCTGCTGGTTAGGGGTGGGGGCCAGTGGGGAGGACAATAGGTCCCCTCTTATTCTAACTTAGGGCCCCCACCCGTCGCCCAGGGGTGGCGGCCAGGGGGGAGGACAATAGGTCCCCCCTTATTGATATTTAGGGCCCCCACCTGCTGGTTAGGGGTGGGGGCCTGGGGGGAGGACAATAGGTCCCCCCATTTGTTTACTTTAGGGCCCCCACTCAGGGGTGGGGGCCGGGGGGGGGAATGTTTTTTTTCTTGTTTTTTTTAACTTAGTATTAGTAAATGTGGCTGAAAGACCAATTTAGGTCTTTCAGCCTTTTGGTAGATACGTTTTCTACTAAGTGGCTGCAAAAGAAGTGCCGAAGTCCCAAATTTCCATAGTTCCGAAATTCCGAAGTGCTGAAGTGCCGAAGTTCCAAAGTGTCGAAGTGCCGAAGCTCCGAAGTGCCGAACCGAACCGCTGAAGTTCCGAATTGCCGAAGTCACGAATTTCGGAATGCCTAACCGAAACAAAAATTTTCCCCATGCACATCCCTAATTCCTGGTATTTGACTTTGGCTACTCCTGACTATTCTAATCTCTGGTTTCCTTGTCTTGTGTATTTCTGGCTTCCTTGACCTCGGCTTTCCCTTGACCGTTTTCTGCCTTTCAATGTATTTATCCGTCCATTCTAAGGACTGGTTTACGTTCTATCTATTTTCTGTTCTATGTAGATGCTATATAGTTTTGCATGTTGGATCACATTAGTAGTCATGACACAAATATTATTGAGTCTACTACCTTTCATTAAACTGGTTATTGTGTATGGAGAACCCTGGTGCCATAATTTCATTCAATATTAAACAGTTTTTAATGTCTTTATTTTTTTATGATAAATGGGAATTCCCAGCAGCCCATACCATCTGGACTGCTTTGGCTAATAAGGAAGTATTAGCCGGAGCAGCAATGAGCAGCTGTGAGTGGCTGAGAGTGTCTGCTGATTGCTTTTAGCCTATCAGAGCACTAACTGACGGTATAAATGGGCATAACTACAAGGAAGTGTTTAATCCTTGCCTTATCCACACCTTCAGAAGGGGCCAGACTGTGAGTGGCCAGAGACCCTTATTTAGTGCTATAATACTCTAAAGTTGCTTAACACTGAATGGAGGGACAGTGCCAGGGAACTCCAGACACTAAAACCAATTCAAACCGATGAAATTGTTTTATTGACTATAGTGTCCTTTTAAGCAATGAGACAAGGAAAATGTGGAAGCTTTATGGGTAGATATCTGCTTGGGGCAAAAGAAGGGAAATCAATTATTGGTTGGGATATGTTATAAACCACCTAATGTTGAGAAGAACAGCTGAAAATTGGGAAAGGAGCACATCCTGGTATCAAGTTCATTATTGGAGATTTTAATTACCCAGACATAAATTGGGATAGAGCAACTAGTAGTTCATCAAGGGGAATAAGGTTTTTGGACCTGTTAAATGACACGTTCATGCCACCATTGGTACAAGCACCAACTAGGATGCTTGTCTGTATCTGGTTTTAACAAACAATGTTGATCTTTTGAAAAACATTAAAGTAGGAGAGCACTTGAGAAACATGATGTCTTTTTAAAATTTTTAAAAATTCTTTATTTTTGTTGTGCACAAAAGTGACAAATAGCCTTGGTGCGTCACAACAGCAACATCAGGGTAAGTTGGAATACATTTGCAATACAGGTTGTGGCATTCGTTAGACAGGCACATTTTCAAGTAGTTGAGATCATTATTTCAACAGTGTAGGTTTCTCGCTTATGTATAATGTGAAATTATTAACACACTAAACATTACTGAGGCAACGCTTATAACAGTACGGTGAATATTGTAACAAAGTGCTAATTCTTAGATCAAGCTAGTGCGGTTAGATTATTTAATTGCTTAGTATGTAGGAATATGCTAACCTGCTGCACCTTAACTATTTGTGGACCCAGAAAGTGTTAAATATGCTGGTTAAGCCTAGTGTAGTCATTGTCTAGTAGTCCATATGAGTGAATATGCTTGCTGCAGCAAGGTTAGGCTTGAGAGTGAGGCTTTTCCCATGCAAACTATGGCTACCAGTTAGGCGATATGAGACTAGTTAGCCATTTAGTACGAATTAACCTGTTGTATAGAGTAAGTAGTTTATAAACGGTAACCTGGTGCACGTAGTTAGTAAAGTAGCTGCATAAACATTAAAATTGTATGCCAAGACTGCACATGCTAGTTATACACGGGTACTATACATCCCTTAAGGAAAGGAGGCCCTCAGACATTTTAATAACTGGTTGCTGAGGGTTAGTGGGATCAGATGGAATTGGAGACATATGAATATAGGCATAAAACAGATTTTAAAATCAAATTTCCTAGCTAGAGAGCAGTGCTGTGTGTGAGAGTGGACGACAGGCTATTGCTCTGACGTATTTAGTGACCCCCAATGCCTGTCGGGCACAGTCCAGACCTATTTTCAGGGTAGCGTGGTTCTTCCAGCATGCCTCTTCTGCTCACAGTGTCAGTGTGGACTGTCTCCCAGTATCTGCAGACCGTCCTCTCTGTGTGAGCACATAGGTGTTTGATGGGTATGGACAGCAGCTTGGTTTACAGTCCATGCGGGCCCCTGGCCCAGCGGAGCAGTGGGAGCCTGGTGTAGCTGTGTGCTTTGGTGGAGTACCCGGAGAGGTGAGTGTTCATTTCACCTCTGACCCATTGCAGGGGGTCGCTTCCATGACTGCCTGTGCTACAGAGGTTAGAATCCTCAATTGCTCGACCTGCAAATGATTGCTGCAAAAAACTTGATTGGATGAATCAAGACAAGGTGCTATAGCAACTAAAGGAAGTTAATGTAAGCAAAGTGACATAGCCCAATAGTACTTAAGGAGTTATGTGTGGAAATAAGTAAACCTTTGGTTTTAATCTTTCAGGATTCTTTTCTTTCAGGAATTGTACCAGAGGACTAGAGGAAGGCAGATGTGGTTTCTAGATTCCAAAATAATTAAAAACCTTTGCGTGGAAATTATAGATTTGTGAGCTTAACTTCTGTGGCTGGGAAAGTATTTGAAGGGATATTAAGGGATAATTTTCAATAATTTACTGGGAAGAACAATGTTATTAGTAAAAATCAGCATATCGAACTAACTTAATCATTCTACAAAGAAATAAATAGATGTATGGATCAGGGTGTTGCAGTGGATGTGATCTACTTGGATTTTGCCAAGGCATTTGTTACGGTTCCATGCAATTGGTTAGTGTTCAAACTACAAGAAATTGGTCTAAATGAGTATTCTTGTTCTTGGGTACGACATTGAGAACAGAGAATTGTCATAAATGATACATTTTCAAGCTGAACAAAAGTGGTAAGTGGTGTCCCTAAGGATTCAGTTCTGGGGCAGCTATTATTCAACATATTTTTAATTGGTCTTGAAAAAGGCATTTAAAGCAATGTTTACATTTTTTGCAGGTGACACCAAACTCTGTGAAGTAATATATTGTGAATAAAATATTACCTTGCTGCAGAGGGGGTTAGCTAGATTGGGGGACTGGGCACTCAAATGGCAGATTAAATTTAATGCAGATAAATGCAAAGTTA